AGAACATATTTCGTAAGTATTTATGGATTATTATTAAAATGTATAACTTATAAAACTATGACCAGTTATAAAGCTTCAAAATTATATTTAACATCGTTAAAACATACTATTAAAATAGTTATGAGTAAGAACTAAGTTCATACGTCCTATGTATGTTTCTTCGTGTATACTTGAAATACGTGTTATTAATGCTTAAAAGATAAAAGTATGGGGGAGGAGGTGAGTTTGTCAGGTAACGCCCTAAAATATCTCACCTGAAGGTATTTCCTTAAAGGTGAGTTTACTACACACATAATACCATGATTTCACACCCGTTTCACACGTGTGACCCTAGCGTCAAACACAAACTCGCCTTTTGTTGCTTGCTATTACCTTGAGGCGTAGCTAGGGTGGGGCGGCTCGCCCCATGATTGATGGCACCATTTTGTGATATGAATGTGTAGAGCCTTTACATAAGAGGCTAGTTATGTAGCCCTGTCTCACGTCGTATTCTTATCTTGTTAAATATTGCGTATCTTCACAGACCAAACTCAACCATCATAAACTGCCGTTTAACTAGATACGCCGTTATAAAAAAAATAAACACAAAAACTAGAAGATGTTTTCTTCATTTGGGTATCTAGTAAAATGATCTTTGTCTTAGCATTCTGAAAATACTTTGGTGTTCAAAATATATTAGCGAATTTATTACTTTTTTTCTCAAACAAACATAGGGGATAGCAAACAAAACAACTGCAAAATAAAACAAGAAAATAACCGGAAAAAAAATATGATGCGCCCAGAGTTTCTTAAAATTTACCGCCCCCCCCCCCCCCCCCCCCCCCGAACGAAATGAAATTTATATAATTTATAATTTATATAGAAAAGATATACTTATAACAGTGTCCGCCCCCCCAAAAAAAGTCTACCCCCCCCCCCCCCGAAAATTTCAAGTGCCCCCCCCCCCCCCCGGAGAAAAAAGTCTGGAAGAAACACTGGATGCGCCTCGTATCGAAGCTACCCTAAGCCTGCCCCTAATCTTAATCCTAACCGTAATCCTGACATTTACCCAAATACTGACCCTATCCCATGTCCTAACACTAATCCTGAACCCAATAGATAAAGTGAACATTAAAAAAAAAACACAATCTTAATGTACCGATGTTTTCACAAGAATCATATATACATACATTCATACGCGTATAAAGTTGTGAACTATAGTTAGAAAAACATTAATGGAACTACGGATCTTTTAATTGAGTTTCCTGTTCCTCTCCTCTCGTTCCCATGGCGATTTGACGCGAAGAACTCGGGGTAACTTCACTCACCTGAGTGAAATTTCAAAAATCTGCCTGTAAGGTGAGCGCGCGATAATTGAATTGAGTTTACGTAACGGGACATGCGCAGGTATCAACTTCCGGTTTACTGTTCCCGGGTTTAGATTTCAAGTGAGAAGACGGATTCGATTATTGTGTTGACACAAGCGCGTTGGTTTTCTTCAGCGTCCTACTTGGGAGTACGCTCGGAAAAAGATTTGTTTGAAGTATTTCATTCGACTCCGCTAAAGTAAATTTAAGACGTTGAAAATTGTAACATTGGAAAGTGGAGATACATTTCAAGTTGCTTTACGATAAAATTGGCCCTTTTTGGTTTACATATTCTTACGATCGGTATATGTAATTGTAATAGTAAATAGTAATTATACAAATGCAAAAAAAAAATCAATATTGGCAATGCGTGAAATTAATTAATTATAAAGAATTAATTAATAAAAAGTACATTAGTTCAAAGCTTTCGGGGTTAGTTTAGTTTAAATTTTTCAAAAAATATATCAAACATGAACAAACGACCTTAATTTGATAAGATTCAAAGCTGTAGAAAGATATTAAATGTATTGCGATTTCTAGGTAAAACTAAAATAAAACATGAACCTATATTTTCGATCAATGAAAACCCCAAACTCTAATCACATAACTGGTACAGTCTTGTAGATGTATTATCCTACATCTGATATTCTTATAATCTTAATAAGTAATTAGAAATATTATACAAATGAATACAAGAAAAATATATTGGTGAACTGTAAAATTCATTATTTATGAAGAGCTTTAAAGTTTTCAATGAAACAAAAGCAAAGACGCTGATCAGATAACTAGATCTAGTAGGTATTGCCGAAATGCTTCTTTAACTTATCCTCATCCAGAAATCTAATGATGAAAAAAATCTCCCTTCTTTTAATAGGGCCCAACGGAAACAGTACGCCATGGCTTAGATTACAGGCAAATATAAATCTGGAGAATTAGATCTTTTGCCCTGTTTTACATTGTGTCTCACTTTCCGCTTGTGCGCAATCACAGCAATATATTTAAAAAGTTGATAAAAAAACACAAATTCTCGGCATCGTCGATTTGGTTTTTTTAAAAAGATTTACAGGTGCAGGCTAGCAAACCTGCGATGGTTAGGAGGGACGTGGGAGAGAAGGAAGGAGGGGGGGGGGGTAAAAAAAACTGAAGCGAAGAACTATCGTTGTGATCGGTCAACAGATCCCTGTGACGTTGCTGTTGACCCGACCCCGATGTTGCGCTGACAAACGGGGAAGAGATTATGTGAAGCGGACCAGGTGAGGCTGTTTTATGGCGGCCTCTTGTCGATTGGGCCTGGGCTGGGTAGTCTAACAACCGGGACAGGCCGAGGTACCGATAAACGCACAAACGCAAACGGGATTCAATCAATAGGATTTGAAATAAATCTCTGGCACTGATTTTTTAAAATGTAAATGAGTTTTAAAATACAATACATCGTTCTAATATTGAATGCGTGGTATATAATTTAAACAATTTTTCCAATTTTTTTTAAAAGTATAAATTTTAAGAATAAAGTACTTTTTTACATACGATAAATATTTCATATGGGGTAGATTTCATGCTTTTTTTCTATGGGCTGAATTTTCTTGCCTGATGCTTAATATAAGAGCATGGCTGCTAAAAAGTCTTGTACTTAATCTTCTTTTTTTTGTGGCCGAAAATTGTTGACCATATTATTCCTTCATATGCCGGGGTTACAGCTTTAGTTGAGATCTATCTCATCTGTCACGTTTACTGTCATGTCCATAAATGTTCATTATCTTTTACCGTTTGTGGTCAAGATACATGGGCCAGATAAAGTAGAGCTCATCTGTTCCAGCAACCTCAGTATACAAAAAGGGTAGTGTCATCAGCTCTATACCCATGCGCTATAATTTCCCTAACATTATTCGGTTACCCATCAGAGCTGGGTTGACTTAGGGACGTCCTACAGACTTGAGCCTGAGACTTGAACTAAAATCTTTCAAGTTAGCAGTCGTCTGATCTACCATCCAACCACTTCGGTAACAGTTATTTAACATTTATATTTTGTGACGCTCAATAATCTTGAAAAAAACAATGTAAACGGAAAGTGATATTTCAACGCCAAGGGTAGACAAAGGTACAGAAAATAGCCCAAGTAAAGACAGAACAGTTTAAACCCAACGGGATTCGAACCTACCAATTCACGCGGCACTAAATCGCCTCGTCCTCCATGCATCAAGTCAGACGTGCAAACACTTCTGCTTGAAAAAAAAAATTAAATTGCCTTTTAAAAATATGACATGAGAGGTTTTATCAGCTAAGTTTCACTCCATCATGGCATCCAGTAGCCTAGCATACGAACAATAAACCAGTGTCCCGTGTTCCGATCTGTTCACGCTTTCTCTCGGCCCGTGGACCAGTCACCTGACAGCGTGTTTTTGTTTACCCTTGACAACCACAAGATGGCGCCGTCTGTGGTGTAGAGTTGCCGTAGAGTACACGCGGGGTCCTGTGGGGGATCGGCTTAGTGTTGAGCACATAAACACACCTTATTGGATGAATCACGCGCCGGCCAACATTGCTGAGGGTGGGGGTGTGGGGGGAGGGGTCAGTCACTCACGGTTCTAAGAATGAAGTTCAGACGATGCTTCCTCTGGGAGAGGGTGTTGGGTGACTTGGACGGAGGGGGCGGAGGTGGGTGGGCGGTTCATTTTTTTTTTAAACTTTAAAAAAAAGAAAAAAACTGTCACGATTTTTTTTAAACCCCGAGATATTGCATAAAAGATTTTAAAATCTGATTGCACTATTATAAATTAATTATATATATATATATCTTTTAATATTAAAAAATTAATTGTGTGTCTATATATTTTAAAATAGTTGTATTGTATTATAAACAAACGGCATCAAATCAAATACCGGATGTATTCATTTCTGATAAGACATAAATATGTCTTCCGATTTCATTAATTTGATGTTTTTAAATCACCTTAGCACTCGTTGGTTAAAATAAAGAAAATTGTAATTGTTTTGTTTTTTTCTATTTCACTCTGAACAACAGGAGTCTAGACCTAAATTGTTTCTTTAGTTTGGTCCGAAAATATCGCTCGTATACACACACACACACACAGACATACACATCCTTAGACATCAATCAACGCCCCAACCACTAAGTAAAAAAAAAAAAACTATAGTACAGCTTGTGTAAATAGTCTCCAATTTTTTTAACCTCCATTCTACATTGATTTTTGCTTCTCTCTAATGAATTAAAAAAAATGGAGTAGTATTTACAGTAAAAAAAATTATTTTAATGGCTTTTTAAAATCTCTTTTAGTCCTGTTTCCCTGATAACCTCATGATGTTGTTTTTTTTTTTTGTTTTTTTTTTCTTTATGTGATTGTGTTCTTGTTGTTAAATAATTTTTTTAAATGTATCTACACATGCTGTGTAAATTATTTTATACTCTTAGTAAAATTGGCTTTTTTTTAACATAGATACACACACGCACGCACACACACACACACACAAACAAACGCACAGTGTAAATTATTCTATTATATAAATAAAATTGACTTTTTTTACAGGGCAATTTTTTCTTTATTTATATACTTTCTATACTATGTACACACACAAGCGATCCTGTGTAAACTGTTTTTTAATATAAATAAAATTCGCCATTTTTTTCACCCACAGGGCAATTTTTTCTCCGGTCTTGATGACGGGTTCCTGGCCCGGGCCGAGGCCATGGGGGTGATGGATATCTCCAAGCCCTCCGGCGGCCATCAGCTGATGAAGCCAGAGGGCCTCTACGGGCACACGCCGGATTTCACCGGCCACAACGGCGGCCCACCACGTCATCAGATGCCTATGCACCCCCACCCCCACCACCACCCCCACCAGCACCACGGGTTCGGGCCGTCCGACTCCATGTTTGATCAGCTGACCGGATCCCCCAACGGCCCGCCCGGCATGCCCCTGGGCCCAGTGGCGTCCATGGCCGAGCACCATAATAACTTAATGGGCGGCCCGACGCACCCCCAGCACCACCAGATGTACCCGCCTATGTACTCGCACCCCTCATCCGTTGTCAACTCCCACCCGGGCCTCCCGCCCCACCCCGGGAGCATGCACCACCAGGGCGTTCACGAGTCAGACTGCGACCCGCGAGAGCTGGAAATGTTCGCTGAAAGATTCAAGCAGAGACGCATCAAACTAGGAGTCACGCAGGCCGACGTGGGCGCGGCTTTGGCCAATTTAAAAATACCCGGAGTCGGTTGTCTAAGCCAGAGCACCATCTGCAGGTTCGAATCCCTGACGCTCAGCCACAACAACATGATCGCGTTGAAACCCATTCTCCAAACTTGGCTGGAAGACGCTGAGAAACAAGCACGAGAAAGAAAAGCGGAGCTGGAAAACGGACTCAACGGGGACAAGAAACGCAAGCGGACGTCTATTGCCGCTCCGGAGAAGAGATCGCTTGAAGCGTATTTTGCGGTACAGCCACGGCCATCGGGTGAGAAGATAGCGCAGATTGCGGAGAAACTAGACTTGAAGAAGAACGTGGTGAGGGTGTGGTTCTGCAACCAGAGGCAGAAGCAGAAGCGGATGAAGTTTTCAGCCATCGCGGCGGGCATGGGCATGGGGCACCACTGACGCCGGAGCGAGCAGGTTGCATTTGAAACATGTGACTTGTCATGGGCGCTGTGATGGCAGTCGTGTACATTTGAGATGATCTGTCAGTGACATAATCAGTTTTTGGGATATTCAGATTAACCTGTCATAGAGATTTGATGACATTAGCGATGACATGTCGTGGACATGAAATGACAGGGTTGTACATTTACTTTGAGACATGTCATCGGAATATGACAACACGTCATAGACCAAAAAAATGGCAGTTCCTGACATAGGACATGGCATGCCGAAATAATAATGGCAGTGTTGTTCATTCATCGTGACATAAAAACAGTGTTTTACTTTCTATACACCAAGTCATGGAAAAATTTGGTTTCAGTTCTACACAATGTTTAGTTGTACTCTGACCTATAGCGTAAATCCGGAAGTATAGCAGCCGGAATTTTTTTTTAATAAAATATGACCAACACCGCCTACCATACATAGAAACTGTCATGGCGGTTACTGGACACCTGAATCCAACTACACAGCAGTTGGATGCTCTACATCTTCAGACTTCAATTCGATCTAGAATGTTCTAGACTCAACAAAAACTAAATGTATTTTTTAAAAAAGTAACCTCATTTTTATTTTAAAATACACAGTTGAATACAACGCTCCTCTGATATGGTAAAACAATGCATGCTTTTATATGCAATTTCATAATGAATACGGCTGATTGTGAATACGGCTGATAAAACAAGGCTTATTATGAACAAGGATGATTTTTTTCCTTCTCCGCAAAACCTCAGCTGTTGCCTTTTTGTTTTAGTGGATGTTTTCCCCTGAATATGAACGTTCAGATCTCCCAGATGTGTTGTTTATTATCATTTTTTTTCTCAACACACTTAAGACAACACACGTGTAACACATGTACTCTTAACTCTGACCCCACTACGTCATAACGAATACTGTAATATACTCTGAGTGGGAACATTTGATTGTAAATGGCGTAACTGTATGGCTGACTGCAACTCCACAACTGGCTGCTGGTGTCCGTCTCATGACGTCATTGACACGTGACGCGTGCACTCACACACCGAGGATGGTTGTGTCCATCTTATGACGTCACTGGCACGCGACGAGGGCACACTTATGATCATCCTTTTTTTTTTGCGGTTTTTTATTTTCCCCAAAACCGCCTCATAAACAACATTGTTATAAATGTTCTAGTCTTAAATTTTTTACATTTCCGGATATTTACACCAAGGCCCTTTAATAAAAGATTGCAATAGTATCCTAGTCAACAACAAAAATTCCTCAATTCGCCACACATTATACGTAAAGAGAAATAATGAGTGTCTTAAGTGAATAAAGTGGGGGGAGGGGCGGCTTGATTTTTAAAAAAAAAATCCTACTACTTCAAAGTAACTGCAAAAATATTGCTGAATTCGTCTTAGGCGTCGGTCGAGACAATTCCATTTTGTCGTATATAATGCCCTTGATGCACATGTATATATCACTTGTAAGATAACTTGTCAATAAAAGTTGGTTCACTCTTATCTTATATTCCAATATACATTCGATATATATATATATATATATATATATATATATATATATATATATATATATATATATATATATATATATATCGAATGTAGAATGTTATATATATATATATATATATATATATATATATATATATATATATATATATATATATATATATATATATATTTGTATGTATGTAACCGTTCTGCGGCTTAACTACTTAACTTCGCCATTGTGCGTATTGTATTTATACATGTTATTAGCACCGAGGTAAGCCAAGCTCAATGCTAAACAATGAACATGAAACTTGCTTCATGAAGAAATGTTTTGTATTACATACTCAAAGAAATCGTGTTTTTTTTTATGTCTGAGCACAGAAAGATAAATAAAAATGCAGCGGGGGGGGGGGGGGAGATTTTTCGATAAGAGAACTGCTTTTATCATTATAGTCCAAAATTTATTTTTTAATATTGGATTATAATTTAATTCAAAATGTGTATGGGAACTTTCGTATACCACTCATTAAAATAAGTTATTGTTAATGAATGTTATTAACGTGCAGTAGAATGGGGGAAAAATAAGCCCAAATACTCGTATTAAGGCGGCTCATTTTTAAAGTACTTAGTCTGTATTTCAGCAGTTTAAAAATTCGACTGCTAGAACCCTACTCTGTGGCGCTGTGCAATTCTACCCGTAAATTATGAACATTTTGTTTCAACGTTTTTCTCCTGTACATATTTTTACTATTTTCGAGAATGTAAATGTTTACTTAACATTACCTAACCTGTCAAATTAATTATTTGTATTGATGTGACATTCTATATTAACCGAACTCAAGCGATATGATTCCTACACTCCCACCCCCTCAACCCTTAACCCAACGCAATCTATCACACCCCCTCCTCCACCCCACCCCTCACTTACCCCCACTTCCACTTTTATATTGTTTGAATTGTAAAAAAAAAATTCAAATTTGAATCCGGCTTTTTAAAAGCTTATTGAGTGATATGTGAAATAGATAATAATTCCTATAAATATATTATATACATGTCTCAACGCCTCACTTACTTATATTATCTGAATGTATGAAATACCAAAATGCCATGTTTATAAGATTTATTTATTTATTTTATTTTTTTTATTTTTTTTACCATCTGGTTTTAGCGAAAAGCACATTTTATAGATGACGACAAATGCATTTTATTTGTTTATATTATATTTTGTTTCACCTCAAAGCATGAACAAATTTTTAACAATTTGAAAGTTGACCAAAAGAAATTGCTTACATGCATGTTGATTTTGTTGTCAGATTTTTTTCTGTAAAATATTTGGGCGTTCTTAAATTAATTACTCATTAACTAGGTAATTACAAAACACATACTACAGATTATGGAGGAGGAAAGTGGAAATAAACTAGTCAACATTGAGAGTGTTACTTTGATATATACTATTGTGCTCTAAAAAATTAATTTATCTTTAATAGTGTTTGTCGTTTATTTTTATTGTATTAGGAATAAATTACTGTATGATGAATAAAATACAAAGCTTTTTTCATAGTTAGGTAGTGTTTGTTGAGAAACATATAGAGGCAGAAAATCAATATCTAGTTTAGCTTGCGTCACACATTTTTAATGGACTCCCATCCAGTTCTTGGCTGTGTGGCCAGATTCAGCAACAGTGGCCAGATTCAGCAGGAGTGGCCAAATTCAGTTGGAGTGGCCAAGATTTCTGCAGCATTTTTAGTTAGTTTTTTTACAAGCGAATTTTTTACCACATTTTTTAAATTAATTAAATATGCTTTTGTTTAAATGAAAGGTGTAAAACAACACATTCCGTTATAAATTACATTCTAATAATTTTGAATTAAATGTTTTAAAAGGTATATGTATAGACTAGTATACTTTTTTTTTAATTTTTAATTTTTTTGTCACTAGGAAGTTTTATGTGAAAAAGTTACAAACAAAATGATTTTTGCTTTAACTCTTATTTATTTATTTTATACGAGTAAGAAAGAAGTCAAGAGAGTTAAATGTTGAGTGTGTCAACAGTGTGTTCAAATGAAGTTCCACGCAGTCGATGCGTTGTGTGTGTGTGCGTGGTTTTACAATGTGTAGATTGGATTCGATGTCAATGTTACTGAGTTCCTCTCACCGTGTCATCAGCACTCTACACCTTTCTGGTCACATGTCATTCAATAAAACGTGAAATTTTAAACTGCTGGCTTTGTTTTATTTTGTGGTTTTTTTTTGTTTTTTTTTTTTTTTTGTTATAAACGGGCTTTAGAATGTTTTGTTAGTTGATTTTAGAAAATGAAAAAAAAAATATGGAAGTAATAACTATAACCGATATTAAAAATGAGTGGCATAATACCTGCTTGTGACAGTGTCTTATTGTGTTACTTCATCATATTTCCAAGTCAGTGCCTAGGACACAGGGTACAGTATCAAAGGTTGTTTTATTTTCATTTTTGATGTCTTTAGCAACTGTCTTGGCAGTTCCCTAAGATGGTCCCTCTTCTTGCACGTACGCCTCCAATTCTTTCAAGGTTTTCCTCTTTTATTTACCAATGAGGAATACAACTTAACTCCATGCTGGAATCTCATCTGAGATCATCTTCAGTACATGGCCCATCTTAGATCATCTTCAGTACATGGCCCATCCAATATCTCATTTGAGATCATCTTCAGTACATGGCCCATCTGAGATCTTCTTCAGTACATGGCCCATCACATCTGAGATCATCTTCAGTACATGGCCCATCTCATCTGAGATCATCTTCAGTACATGGCCCATCACATCTGAGATCATCTTCAGTACATGGCCCATCTCATCTGAGATCATCTTCAGTACATGGCCCATGAGATCATCTTCAGTACATGGCCCATCTCATCTGAGATCATCTTCAGTACATGGCCCATCTCATCTGAGATCATCTTCAGTACATGGCCCATCCAATATCTCAACTGAGAGCATCTTCAGTACATGGCCCATCTCATCTGAGATCATCTTCAGTACATGGCCCATCTCATCTGAGATCATCTTCAGTACATGGCCCATGAGATCATCTTCAGTACATGGCCCATCTCATCTGAGATCATCTTCAGTACATGGCCCATCAAATATCTCAACTGAGAGCATCTTCAGTACATGGCCCATACAATTTCTCGTCTGAGATCATCTTCAGTACATGGCCCATCCAATATCTCATCTGAGATCTTCTTCAGTACATGGCCCATCTCATCTGAGATCATCTTCAGTACATGGCCCATCCAATATCTCAACTGAGAGCATCTTCAGTACATGGCCCATACAATATCTCAACTGAGATCATCTTCAGTACATGGCCCATCTCATCTGAGATCATCTTCAGTACATGGCCCATGAGATCATCTTCAGTACATGGCCCATCCAATATCTCAACTGAGAGCATCTTCAGTACATGGCCCATCTCATCTGAGATCATCTTCAGTACATGGCCCATGAGATCATCTTCAGTACATGGCCCATCCAATATCTCATCTGAGATCTTCTTCAGTACATGGCCCATCTCATCTGAGATCATCTTCAGTACATGGCCCATCTCATCTGAGATCATCTTCAGTACATGGCCCATGAGATCATCTTCAGTACATGGCCCATCCAATATCTCAACTGAGAGCATCTTCAGTACATGGCCCATCTCATCTGAGATCATCTTCAGTACATGGCCCATGAGATCATCTTCAGTACATGGCCCATCCAATATCTCAACTGAGAGCATCTTCAGTACATGGCCCATCTCATCT